CCACCTCATGTTTATTTAATCATTAGTAACGTTAATGTTTAAAAACCCACCGCACACCAGCATCGAGGAATTAGACACTGGCTGGTGAACACAATGGATCATTCATGTCCTTTTATCAGGAGTAAGGGACCAAAACAAAGCTGTAAGTGAAGGAATGTTGTTGGACAGGATCTGACATCCAAATGAACATTAGTGTTTATGAGTGTTATGATAAAACATGAGTAGTCGTTGTTTAATGATGGAGTTGGCACGGTGGAGGATTTCCAGTGCAACCTGAAAGGTGGAATTACAGCTGAACTTTAAATGTTGATTAATCCCCGTGGGGAAATCCTTCAGTGTGCCACAACATATCCTTATTTCTTCAGGCCATTGGTTTGTGATTCGCATGGTTGAGGCAATGACTTTAAAAGTCCCACAAGATTTTACTAAATGTACAGACACCATCCACACTCATGCATCCCACATGGACACATATTAACACGTACCATCATATTTGACCTGCATGAAACCAAATGGATTGTTGAAGTGCGACAGCCGGTTCCACTCGCTCATGTTCATTTTGTCCATAAACAAACGAATGTTTGGGAGGAAATTCTTCTTGAAGTCTTTATCTTCAGAGTTTTGCAGAGACTGGGCACACGTCTGACAATGTTGGATAAAATGTGACATGATGAAACAAATAAACATCAATTTCAACACTCAAGAAATTCAAAAAACAGAAATGTGTGTGTTGTAAAACATTAAGAGAAAAGCGAAGGTAAAACGCATACAGCTCACACCAAATACACCAAACTGAACACAAAGCTGTGCGGATTACCCCGCCGCCAGTAAAGTGAATACATGTCTTTATGTATGCCGCAGCATGCTTACTGTCTGCCTGCGTGGAGCGTCCTGGTTATAAATATCCTCGAAATCAAAGCGCGGAAGCTTCTTGAAGTCTTTTCTGAAGAGGACAGGTACGGGAGTCTCCGGAGCGCGCGGCGGTTTGTTCACTCTCACTGTCGATTTTGGGGATTCGGCTTGTTTTGTGGGATCCGTTAACACAAAGTTTGAGGCAAGCAAGTTTTCCTTTTGCACCCATAGCTCAGCTATTTCCTCAAGTCCTTCTGAGATTGGGTCTGAGAAAGTATTCCAACTAATGTGGAAAGAACCACAGATTACAAAATGTAGAAGAATGAACACGACGCCAATTTAAGATTAGGAATCAGGAATCAGAAAATATTTATTACCAAAATATGCCAAACATACAAGCAATTTGTCTTGGCGGTTGGTGCGCGACAGTAGACAATGTGACAATAGACAAGACAGCAGTGCACAAGTAATACAATAAAGTAAAATGAAATGCTAATATAATAAGATAATTAATTTACTCCACCTGGAAATGACACATTTATTTGGACATCAATAAACTACTTAACTAACAAATACGAGATAAAATACCCTCCTTCACCATAAGTCGTTATAAATACAACTCACCTGCTGCTTGATAAATTTGTCGATGACAAAACAAAAATGACAACGCAAGTTGAGATCAAAATCACCAAAAAGGAAACCCGGTAGATTCCCATTTCAACCAGCACTGGAGGACGTAACGTTGGACAGAATACCGACTGGTTTTGCTTTGCAGACAGTAATGTACTTCACAGTTCATATGGACTACTGGGCAGGGCTACAGCACCTTCAACAAAAACCATCCACACACCTTCCAGCAGCATGTTACACAATGGGGGCTGAACCAGAACCCACCTTTTGTGTTATTGATTTAAATTTAATGAACAATAAGTTATTTACTATATAATCAATATATGTAATATCCAAGTACATCCGTTTGTGCTGAGGACGGGGTTCAGAGCTTTTTTGCTGAAAACCGATTCTTGCTGTGGATGAAAATGAGGTTGATGAGTACAGTGAAATTGGGAGTGAACCGTGCATGATGTCACATGGCATCAAAATATGGACCTAAAAGAGGCTAAAAAAGCTGCACAGAGCTGTTCATCGCGGACACATTTGTCCCGTATTTTCCTCCACAACTTTGTGCACCTCTCGACCGTCTCGTATATGACAGTGTAAGTCATATACAATCAATGACAATGAATACATGTGTTAGTAGTTTGTAGTTTATTAAATTTAAGAAAACAGTAAAGAAAAGTATGTGCCCAAAGGGCCTCCTTGTCCTCCACGTCAGGTCCTGCCTTGCACAGAGGCCCTTCTCCTCTCTCTATTGGACCTGGTGTTTCTCCTCTCCCTGTGCTCTCTGCGTCATTGCCTGTCCTCTCACTGCCTGAAAAAATATGTTGATTTAAGAGTTAACCAGTTAAGCAGCCTGTGAATCACACTGACAACATAAGTTAAAGGAACGCTCATGTACTACCTATGTCATCATAAATAGCCTATACAGCATGTTTTGTTTTCACATTGAGAACTGACTTGTTTTCTAATCTACGTGTCACCAGGCGTTTTTCTTGTCCTTTTACCGTGCGAACACAGAGCGCGCGACTACTACCCCACCCCGTCGGTCGTTCCGCCCGCAACGACTACTACACCCCCCCCCCCCCCCCCCCCCCCGCCGTCGAACCTTCTCAACCGGGACCACTAGGCTGGTCCACAATGTGTATGTGTTTACACACCTCCTGGATCCTGATCGCTTCTGCAGCCGCAAGGCACTGATTGGATGCTCACAGACCGTAATACAGCGCAGATGAACATGATTCAGACTGCGGCGTTTATATGTTCAACAATAGGAAACGTAGTCTTAGCTGTTTTAAAATTACACCAAGTTTATTTCATTTTATTTTTTTTAGAATTTCCAAAATTCTAGAGGTGCGTAAATGGCGTTTTCGTGCACAAACACACCGGTTGAGAGACCTGCAAGACTTATTCTATTATACAGTTGGGACAAGAGTCGTTTCCTTGTTTTACACACAGACATATTAGTTAATGTTATAATGCACAGTGCATGTAGCGTGGTGGTTAGCACTGTTGCCTCACAGCAAGCAGGTCCTGGGTTCGATTCTGCCCAGTGGCCTTTCTGTGTGGAGTCTGCATGTTCTCCCCGTGTCTGCGTGGGTTCTCTCCGGGTTCTCCGGCTTCCTCCCACAGTCCAAAGACATGCTCTGGGGATCAGGTTGATTGGGGACTCTAAATTGCCCGTAGATGTGTGAATGGTTGTGTGTCTCTGTGTAGCCCTGCGATTGCCTGGCGACCAATCCAGGACGTACCCTGTCTATCGCCCGAAGTTGGCCTTGGGTGGACTCCAGCCCCCCCCCCAGCGACCCCGGGTTCGACGATGGATGGATGGATGGAATTGAAATGTATACACTGACCCCTCCTGGCAGGAAAGGGACACTGCCACTGAAGATTCAATCAATGAGGTAAAATGTGGTATTGGTCAAATTTAGAACCCGCATTTTCACGAGGTCAAAGGGGGGAATACACTGATATGGATCCTATTTAAGTTGGTGGAAAATTGTTAAGGATTGAAACAGACTGACAGGTCGTTCATTACATTAGCTGACACTTTCATCCAAAGCGACTAAGGTTACAATAAGTGCATTTCAAACATAAGGATACAAATTCAACATAAACATAAAAGTGCGATTTCATCATGGGAAGGTGGCGACGGTTCATGTGACCTGGTGATCACATCGTGGGACGGTGGCGATAATCAAAGAGGCATCGCTAAAACAATAAAGGGACATATGTATCGACCGCGCAGGGGGGGCGGGGCTGCTGTCAGTCCGCTGGTGCTCTCTCTCCGCTGGCTGCGGTCGGTTATCAAAACGTTGCCCAAATGACCCTTTTCAGACTTCATGAACAAATACAGAATGCCTTTGTGTTCATTTCTAAAGCATCGCATTAAGACACGCGTCACTTTTTTAAAGACGCTGCGCTACTTGCAGGTCGCTGTGTTGTGCCTGATTCTCAATAAAGTTAGAAAAAAGTATTTACGTGAAGATACTCATTAACATGTCATTTGCATGAGGAGGAAGAGGCGGGTCCATGTCTCCACTGAAAAAGGAACCTTCCACCGACCACTTTTCGCACCCGGCGTCCGGATGCTCACGATGCCGCTCGGAGACAGCGTTGCACGTGTGCGCGTTACTGCAAGTGCATGACTACGTTTAACAGGGAAATATAACTCTATTGCACTTTATGGACACACATTTAAATCAAGAAATGTCACTGAAACAAATAACATAGCAAACAATATGACTTTTCATTCTCACAGGGCTGGAAGGAGTATTCAAATATTTAACTATTTAAAAGTATCAATGCTGCGTCGTGGAAATATTTCATCAGCATCATATGCAGAATGTACTGTAAGCAGTAATATACATTTACTCAAGTACTGTGCTTACATTTATGAGATACTCTTGTCTCTTACAGTTGTTACTTCACTACACAAATGTTTTTATTTTCACTCTACTGCATTTATTTGAATTTGGTTGCTTTTCAAATTCAGATAAATAATACAAATAATAAATACATTTAAACAATCTTCACAGGATACGATTTAATTGATCCTAAATAAAGTAAAATAAATAAATGATCCAGCTAGAAATGAAGTCACTGGCTTATAATTGCATCTTATAATAAAATTATAATATACAAATTATTCTGAAGTGTGTTCCATTCTGCATTATTAGTCCCGTAACTTCTGAATCGTTAAGGACATTTTGATTTTGAGTATTTTTATACTCTATTGCTACTTTTTTTAGTAACAAGACTATTGTGTTCAATAAAGGAATACTTCTTCTACCATGTAAACATATTATACACATATTTATATATGCACATACACAAAACCTCCTTTGGTAAATACTTACTTAATGATGGGAATTTGTAAAGGCATTAAATGTAAACTCTCATTGTTTTAATTGAGTGAATGAGTAAAGCATTGTGTGACAAGAAAACAACAGCAAAAAACATTTGCTGGGCTGCTGACGTATAACCACGGGGAGAGGTTACACAATGTCTTTTAATATTGGTGGGACAAGTTGGTGAAGTCCCGCACTGTACCTGAGGGCTTTGTGCACACAAATACCCACACACACCCACACACACCACTTCCATTGGCACATCTGGCAGCTGTGCTTAGGGCATTCATCTCTGTCGGCTGACATCATTTGTTCCCGTCAGTCATAGTTCGGTGTGGTGCTCGGCGAATTCTTCCCTGTTTCGGTTCTCTGATACAACTTCAGTATTTTGCTGTCATGTAGTTTTTTCCACAGCCTCTTTTCCATGTGATAGTCGTGGTTGGCGTAAAAAATTACTTTTGTTTTAATATCCCTTTCACAGTAGTAGTTAGAGTATTTTGCGTAGTCCTCTGTCATGAATCCATACGCACTCACCTGCCAAAATCAGAAAAGAAAACAGTGACGATTGAGACAGAAAATTTACAGCTAATAAAGATTTGTTTGAAGAAAAGTTTGACATGAAAACGTTAATCCAATTTGTAGAGGGAAGTTGGATGAGAAGATGGACCACTCTCTTATTCTGTGTGAAACTTTGGAAGCTACAACCTATGGTTAGCTTAGCTTAGCATAATGACCGTAAACAAAAGAAAACTGTCTCCTCTATGTGATCCTCCAATTAGCGCCGCAAAGCTGATAAATTAACATGTTGTATTGAGGTGTAAAACCGAAATGAGTGGTTTCAACGGAGATTTACTTGGACTGTGTTGCGTAATTCAGCGGTTCCCAAACTCGAGAATGCCGCGGCCAATTTGAAATCTGAAAATCTTTCGCGGCCCACCCAAACCTTTAATCCCCACCCTGGTCAAACATAATGATTAAATGCAAAACATGAACTCCGTTGCTCGCGAAGAGAATCTCTGCTCGCGCTCGAAGGAGTTTTCTCCGCGCTCGCTGTTGTTCTTTTTGACAAGTAAAGCCTGATTTATGCTTCTGCGTTTTCAGAGCGACGCGTCGCTTTTCACACTTCCTTGCGTCCTTGCGTGTGTCGAGACATTTTTCTAGACTTGCGAGCAACGCGAGCTTCCCGCAGCGCACAAGGTTGCGATTGGTCCGCTAACTACGTCCTTTACGGAGTCTCACATTTCCGCTTTCATAGCCCGATACCGCCAATAATAAAACGAAGAATGTTTACGAGAGAACGGAGCAGATTTAAGAACTTCTGTCGGAAGAAATGCGTAAATATGAGCCGCCATTGGCGGGTTGTGGAAGCGGGTTGGATTCACGGAGGGAGATCGCCGCAAACGCCGGTTTGCCGGTCGAGAGGTGCACAAAGTTGTGGAGGAAAATACGGGATAAATGTGTCGGCGATGAAAAGCAGCAGTGGCGATGCACGGGGCAATAAAGTCTATGATTAATAAATAAACAAACAAATAAATAAATGAATAGACGTGACTCTCTAGGTCGTCTTCAACCAAACATGTTACTCCGCTTTTAGAATAACTTATTTCCCCGTTAAGATGGTTCAGCTACTGTAGAGAAAACGGCGCCGTCTCTCTTTAATCTCATGAAGTGCTCGGCGAGAACGACCGCTTTGTTTCTCCGACGCGCCCTGAAAGCAGCTCCGTATCTCACGCGCTTGAGCGCCGCTCAGCATCTCGCCGTCGTAGACGAGCTTTGGCGTGTTTGGCAGAGCGCCTTGAGCGCCGGGTACAACCAGTGTGGATCAACCGAGTAACCAATTGATCCATATATATAAAGCGCTCCGCAATATAAGGCCCTGTCGTTTTTTGAGAATATTAAAGCCTTTTATGTGCGCCTTGGAGTGCGGAAAATGCGGTATATTTACTTTAATACTACAAGAGGGCGCCCCGTTTGTTGAACGACAGGTGGACAAGAGCAGCCGTTTCGAGCGAGAGCCTTATTGTTTTATTAATCTGTCCGTTGAAAGTGTTTGTGCTTCATCAACTAATGTTTCACACAACTAATGTGCCGCATCATACATATTTTTATATTAATTTCAAACTTTTAAAAATTGAAATTTTTATTTATTTATTGTAAATGACCTCTCGCGGCTCACCTGCAGTACCTTCGCGGGGCGCGGCCCACACTTTGGGAATCGCTGGTGTAATTCATAAAACCCTTTTTCTCTTTGTTACGTATTGTGAATACAAAACTGAACACAACTAATGCAGCGGGGAAAAAATGTTGAAAAGCAGGAACATCGATCCATGACCTGATTAAATTACACGTTAGGCATGGGGTGAGTTCTAGAGGTGTGGCTGATTACAATGTCAACGACGTGTCCAAGTAATATGAACTTACAGTGTCACAGGTATGCAGAGCGAGGAAGAGAGTGAAAGCCCCATTGGTTGGTCTGACAATTGCCCAATGTGAAGAATTCAGATGAGGAGACATTAAGAACCTTTGGACAATGAAAAGTGTTAAATACACATACTCAAATCAGCTACAGCCTTTAAATAGAACACTAAAGGTGTTTTAACATTTCACATATTATCATTGTTTAATGGTCTTTCATCCGGTTTTATAGAGCACTGTGGCTGCAGAACGTCAAATGTTTGTGTAGTATTGTGAGAGGAGGGTGACCTGTTTCGAACGTATCTGAGGAAATCCTGGTGCAGAACGTAGAAGCGGCTCTCATTGTATTGTCCACCATAGTATGTCCAGGGCCTGTAGGGTTGAAGTACAAAATCAAGAGCTAAACACATAAAGGATTATTCATTTTCAGTTATCTTTTTAATTCATCATTTAAATGCTAAATTCAATAATGAATGTATTAAATCCCACAATACTACGCTATGACTATTGCAGTGACACTTCTATACAACATGCTACATTCAGTGTTTCACAAACTCCTCTCGTGAGTTTTGTTTTTGGAATGTAAAGTATTTTTTTATTTTGAATTCACGAGCTACAAAGGAACAAGTTGACTAGGGCTGCAACAACGAATCGATAAAATCGATTATTAAAAGCGGTTTCGCGATTATTACGTCACTCAATGAGTTGCGGAGATGCGCGCAGAGCAAAAATAAAAATAAAGGCGCCGAGCCGACGTAGAGGAAAGAGCGGCCGGCAGTTGTTGTGAGTCACATGACGCAGGGAGAGACGTCTGTTCGACTAGTCGTCTAAGGTGTGCGAGCGTGGGGGGTCCCGGTCCACGTTGTCCCATTTTGACGTGAGGGACGTAACAAGCCTGCTGTTTACTCGTCATCCAGCTGATCAAGCTAGAGTTAGCTTGCTAATAACAGCAGTAAAGCAGTTAGCAAGACTAAGACACGTTTTAATTTACTCGCCTCTTTTGGACCATTCATTTTTCAATGTGTTGTCTGATATTTTGTGCTTTGTCCTATATCGGTTATTGTTGACAAATATATTTGTTTGTGTTGTACTTTTTAATGCTGTCATGTATGGTAGTCCAGTGCGTTTGCGCATATACTGTGGGTTATACGGTAGTTGATGTTATGCCTGAAAAGGGAGACACATGGTGATCCAATAAATCAACTAAGAAGCCTCTAATGCAGCGATTCCCAAAGTGTGGGCCGCGGCCCCCTGGTGGGTTGCAAAGGTACTGCAGGTTGGCCGCAAGAGGTCATTTACAATAAGGAAATAAAGTTTTTAAATTTTTAAAAGTTTGAAATCAATATAAAATGATTTATGATGCGGCACATTAGTTGTGTGAAACATTAGTTGATGAAGCACAAACTATTTAAACGGACAGATTAATAAAACAATAAGGCTCTCGCTCGAAACGGCTGCTCTTGTCCACCTGTCGTTCAACAAACGGGGCGCCCTCTTGTAGTATTAAAGTAAATATACCGCATTTTCCGCACTCCAAGGCGCACATAAAAGGCTTTAATTTTCTCAAAAAACGACAGGGCCTTATAATCTGGAGCGCCTCATATATATGGATCAATTGGTTAATCGGATGATGCAAACTGGTTGTACACGGCGCTCAAGCGCGTGAGATACGGAGCTGCTTTCAGGGCGCGTCGGAGAAACAAAGCAGTCGTTCTCGCCGAGCACTTCATGAGATTAAAGAGCGTGAGACGGCGGCGTTTTCTCTACAGTAGCTGAACCATCTTAACGGGGAAAATAAGTTATTCTAAAAGCAGCCGAAGATTTAAGGCGTGGATGGCGAGGGGGGCGGCGGGAGCGGACGCACCTCACGGCATCGATTGGACCCTGAAAGCACCGTCTCCACCTTACGGTCAAAAAGACAACAGCGAGCGCGGAGAAAACTCCTTTGAGCGCAAGCAGAGATTCTCCTCGCGAGCAACGAAGTTCACGTTTCGCAAGCGAGCAAATACCTCGCGGAGACGTTGTTTTGCTCGCGGATGTTTTATTTTGGTTAAATTCTTAAGGTCATTTAATCATTATGTTTTGATCAGAGTTGTGATTAAAGGTTTGGGTGGGCCGCGAAAGATTTTCAGATTTCAAAGTAGGCCGCGGCATTCTTGAGTTTGGGAACCGCTGCTCTAATGCATTTATTTACAAATGCCATTTTAAATTCATCTCATAGCACTTGGTTGTTTTTTAGCTGTATGCATTTACTTAACTTGCACTACAATGATGGTAATAATTTAATGAATATGCTTCAAGTGAACATGAGGGTGTGTTTGTGAGTGTAGTATAGAGAACTAGTTCTGACGAATTTGAGGTTCTGTTTTAGAATAAAGAGTTGGAAATTAAAGCTTTTTAATGCCGTTTTTTTAAAATCCGATTCATCGATTAATCGAAGAAATAATTGACCGATTAATCGATTATCAAAATAATCGTTAGTTGCAGCCCTAAAGTTGACGTGACCTGTGACCTCCACAACAAATGTATTAAATGAGGCCTGCTTGTCTTCTACAGCAAATGTAGTACTCATGAGTAGAGAGACGCATTGACAGAGCAAAGCTCAACGAAGGAGCTTGAGATATGATTTCATCGCAATGCAATTCCTTTGGAAGCTGATTCATTATTCTAATGAATAAGGCCAGCGTCATGTAGCAACACGTTGTCAGGTCCAATCCAAGTAATTTAAGCCCTGGCTGTGGTTTTGTGTTTGTGTGTGCATGTTGTCCCTCGTCAAATTAGAAATATAAAGAGTTGATATTCACCTCATGTTATTATATGTCCGAGCCTTGATTCTTTCATGTTTGAAAAGACCCTCCATCCAATAGAAATCCCTCATCCCCTCAGGTATCATTACATATTTTATACCCTGCCAAAAGGACGAGAACGGGAAAGCAGTGTTCATGCGTGGGATATAAAGCAATATGATATCACATGTTTTAATGGAATTTGACTACCTCATCCTTAGGGGCGGTTGTGTATCCGTACTTCCGGAACAGATGCGGCGAAGTAGTGATTGAATGGGCAGTGTGAACGTACACCGATGTCTTGTTTCCTACGTCTTCCTCAAAGCCTTTGATGACGGCACCGTTCATCCTGCCGCACAGACACAAAAAGTTATTTTTAGTTTACAAATAAATTCATGTGAAGAAATATTACCTGAATTGAGAATATTGATTGAACGCTACTGTGGTTGGCAGTGCTGTCAGTTTCAGGAATTATGAATGGCATATAGTACATCACAATGCGTCAATTGCTGTGAATACACTTGTAACAAAACACCATCTCAGGACATCTGCTTATGAGTGAGAAAGCCTCAGTAAACAAACGTTTCCTTGTTATTGTAGAGTCTCCTAAGTCAGTGGTCCCCAAGCACCGGGCCGCCGACCAGTACCGGTTATGTGATTATTATAATTAATTAAGTTAAGTTAACACCTAAATTATCTAGTAAGAAATCAAAAGACCACATTTCTCACAAGCGCCTGTCGAACAGTGACAAAACCTGCCAAAAATTAAAAAAACAGGTCAGGTTGTATCACGTAATTGACTGAAACTGAAATACAATATGTTGATAGAAATGTAGACTGTGATATTTTTGTTTTGATATTTTTCTTGTATTGAGATTGTTGAATTGTAATGAGTGATATCAGTAAAATCTAGGTAAAAACGGAAGATACTTATTCTATTGTTGATTTCACAGCGACCAACATGCCTTTTAAAATGGGTAAACCGTGCAGCAGTTTGACAGAGTCAAAGACAGGATTTTTGAGCTGAGGACCTTCGCTGATGTAGAAAGGAGATTCATGTTTATACGACTTTATTTCTGCAAACATCTGCAAGATTCAAAGTGACTGTTAAATCATCAAGCCTGACAAGTTGAGTCTGTTCAAGGTTTTGAGGAACCTAGCAGAGAAGTCCACAATTATGCCTTTTCATTAAATGCCCTAGAATTGCATTTTAAGCATCCTAGCATATTGACATTTCATTTATGATGCAAATGTAATCTCGTGGTTCCTAAAATGATCGTCTGCCTCCGATTACAGCACTTGGGTTAGCCTTGAAGCGTGTATGTGTCCAATTAGTCTCCTGCTTGCAAGTATTATTTAATATATGTCCTGTTTAATGATTTTACACCAGTGTCGAGTAAGAATTTTGAGTGATCAAATAAACTTGAATAGTTTTTTTGCCAAAAGTTGTTCATTAAATATGAGGATACGGCCGGAAGTTAGAATCGCTTAGCATAGGATAAAGACTGGAAACTTACAGCATCAGTTTCCTTGTTTGCTCTCAACATACTGACGAGTGTATGAGCTCCTTCACATCATTGCAAAGCAAATAGTTGTTTTCTGCTATTTTAAACATCCTGGAGGCATATCCTCATTGACGTGCTTTGAACAAACTTTACTGCTGTACACTATGCACAAATGCACAAAGGGATGGATTCCTGCTATGACTAAATATTGACTTGGTATGTAATGATTTGGGCTCCTGATATGAAAGGGTTTGATGATCATTTGTCAAATAGCTTTAGACCTCGTTTTAATCGGGGCCTAAGAAACTAAATCAAAGGCTTTCTTACCGAAAAACGTAATCGTGAGCATCAATTTCTTTCCCCAATTTAGAGCCATATAGGATTCCTGATGTGCCCACCACAGCACAGCGCAAACATCCGTCACTGCCCGTCCGTGGAAGCAGCAGTGGCTCTTTTGGCTTTGGGATCAACTTCACTGTAGGCATCACCTCTGCAAAATAACCCAAAAACATTTTAAATACATTTAAATATGCAAATTATTCACAGCAAGTATATTTTCTGCAAGCAAAAACAGAAAAGCATATTGTTGATGGGTGAGGGTGGTTACTCATTACTAAGCTGTTCACCTCATGTTTATTTATTCATTAGTAACATTCATATTTGAAAACCCACCGCACACCAGCATCGAGGAATTAGACACTGGCTGGTGAACACAATGGATCATTCATGTCCTTTTATCAGGAGTAAGTAATCAAAACAAAGCTGTAAGGGAAGAAATGTTGTTGGACAGGATTTGACATCCAAATGAACTAGATGTTTTACTAGATGTACAGACACCATCCACACTCATGCATCCCACATGGACACATATTAACACGTACCATCATATTTGACCTGCATGAAACCAAATGGATTGTTGAAGTGCGACAGCCGGTTCCACTCGCTCATGTTCATTTTGTCCATAAACAAACGAATGTTTGGGAGGAAATTCTTCTTGAAGTCTTTATCTTCAGAGTTTTGCAGAGACTGGGCACACGTCTGACAATGTTGGATAAAATGTGACATGATGAAACAAATAAACATCAATTTCAACACTCAAGAAATTCAAAAAACAGAAATGTGTGTGTTGTAAAACATTAAGAGAAAAGCGAAGGTAAAACGCATACAGCTCACACCAAATACACCAAACTGAACACAAAGCTGTGCGGATTACCCCGCCGCCAGTAAAGTGAATACATGTCTTTATGTATGCCGCAGCATGCTTACTGTCTGCCTGCGTGGAGCGTCCTGGTTATAAATATCCTCGAAATCAAAGCGCGGAAGCTTCTTGAAGTCTTTTCTGAAGAGGACAGGTACGGGAGTCTCCGGAGCGCGCGGCGGTTTGTTCACTCTCACTGTCGATTTTGGGGATTCGGCTTGTTTTGTGGGATCCGTTAACACAAAGTTTGAGGCAAGCAAGTTTTCCTTTTGCACCCATAGCTCAGCTATTTCCTCAGGTCCTTCTGAGATTGGGTCTGAGAAAGTATTCCAACTAATGTGGAAAGAACCACAGATTACGAAATGTAGAAGAATGAGCACGACGCCAATTTAAGATAATTAATTTACTCCACCTGGAAATGACACATTTATATGGACAACAATAAACTACTTAACTAACAGATACGAGATAAAATACCCTCCTTCACCATAAGTCGTTATAAATACAACTCACCTGCTGCTTGATAAATTTGTCGATGACAAAACAAAAATTACAATGCAAGTTAAGATCAAAATCACCAAAAAGGAAACCCGGTAGATTCCCATTTCAACCAGCACTGGAGGACGTAACGTTGGACAGAATACCGGCTGGTTTTGCTTTGCAGACAGTAATGTGCTTCACAGTTCATACGGACTACTGGGCAGGGCTACAGCACCTTCAACAAAAACCATCCACACACCTTCCAGCAGCATGTTACACAATGGGGGCTGAACCAGAACCCACCTTTTGTGTTATTGATTTAAATTTAATGAACAATAAGTTATTAAGTTATTTAATATTTAATCAAAATATGTAATATTTAAGTAAGATTTTTAAGGTAACGTTATTATTATAAACTAACACAAACAAATCTTTTATTTGCATATGGTGGGTAAAAAAATCTGTCTTCATTGGCATATGAAACTAGATGATGATGGATTGAAACGGCAAACATATAAAATAAAACCTTATACAATTCAAACAATCCTATTGACACACATATTTGAACAGCTGGTGGGTGGACTGATTACTGTGAGTTCATTCAAACGTTTTGTGTGCCTGGGTAGTCCTCGAGTAAAGAAGCCTCCTCAGAAGGTAAATCTCAAAACACAAAGATGAGTGTCAGATGGAGTAGAGTCTGAGCTGCTCCTCCATGTCTCCATCCGTCACCTCCCCAAACGTCTCCTGGTTCTCTTTCAGTAGCTGGAAGATGGCGGCCAGCTGCTCACGTTGCACCCTGAATAGAAAACAAAAGAATTTTTGAGTAGCGAAAGAACTCTGCATAACTGTTTGTACAAATGTAAATTTGATTAGGAAAATTCACACATAGCCTCATCGTGTAGGATATTTGTTAATATCATAGCTAATATTTAGTTAATATTACTTTAGCACTCACACAGAGACACACGGAGGTTCTGGGGCAACAAATGTCATGTCAGGACAGTTTCCCTAATAACTCATGTTGTAAAGTTGTTATACATCATAGTTCTTTATCAACTCTCCAACGATCATAAAAAAAAACACACATCTAAACGTGAAATGGCAACGGAGGTCACTGCTCCCAGTCACTAAACAGTCTATAGCACATAAGCGCTAGCCAAATCACAAGAAGTAATTTCTACTCTTCAGTTTTAACCAAGCTAACTAACCAGCTCCGTATTTGAGACACTGATTTTAGATATCATACTTTACTCCTAGAACGCAAATAAGAGTATTTATTTACCTGGTAACAGTCTCAGGACAATTAAGTTATTTATTAAGTGAAAACAAGAGATAACATGTCTGTATGTATTCTTTATCTTAGATTGTAGCACTTGACTTGTACTTGGATAATATAATTGCTTATCTATAGCAAGTTGTAAATTGATGAAATTGCACTTTCTTGTTTCCTGTTCTTCTGGGTTTGAACCCTGTGCACTTCAACCATAATTTACACACTTTAACACACTTATTGAAAGTCGCTTTGGATAAAAACGTTGGCTAAATGACATATAATGTTATGTAATGTAGATTGTATTTATGACTCTCAACCACAAATCATCTTTCGTGCGTTGCTGTCTTACCTCGGACCTCATGGTATTGTATTTGGCATTCCTCTTTAAGTTGATCACTTAAGATATCCAGTTCCACTTTTTACTGGTCCCTATTGTCAATGTCTTGATAATATTCTCTGATTTCTCCTCTTTTGAGAAATAGCGGTTGATGAATTATCGGCCCAACAGGAGGCCTCTGCGGCAGTTATCATCCAGGGAGACAAAGTGAAGTCAGGGCTTTACAACAGAAGACAGACCCCAACATCTATTGTCGAGCTAAACTTCCATTATTTTATTATTCAATAATCTTCTGATTAATTTCCAGATTGATAGAATAATCTTTTGCCAACAAATGAGAGCATATGGCAAGCTCTAATGTGACGTCTTCAAATGTCATACTTTGAAGAATTCCCAACCTAAAATCCCAAATTTTACTAATAAAGACAAGTAAGGAAACTGGAAAGAAATTCATTTATCAATGCGTCAACTAATTGTTGGAGCTTTACACAAACAAAACGTGTGATCATATAATAAAATATAATGTTACAGATGTAACTATGTAACTACGTATTTTGTTATATTGGATTAGTCCTTCAGTGGCTCTTATTTACATTTAAGGAGCGTCAGGCTGCGGATTAACAAAAAACACAGTCTCAGAGTTCCTGATCCCCAACACCAAAACACCGGTGCACCTTGAGGAACTCTGTTGGTGCCGTTCCTCTGACATCTATTTGAGTTGTATATACCTTTTGTTGTTTCTTTTATTTTCCTCTTTATTTATCAACATATATTTTTGTGTTTGTGCTGCAACAATGACAAGATTTCTCCTTTTTGATGTGTTTATTTTATATTAGTGCTGTCAGTTAACAACGTTAATTTGGGATGGATGATTGTCCCCAGGAATGATGGTCCACACATGGAGGGGCACACAGCAAAATGACGTAAATAACGTTTAAAAGTACTTAGCAGCACCGGCAACATCAGTACCTTCTGAAAGGTTGTTTTCAGTGTCTGGGCATGTTGTGCAAAATAAGTGAGCTTCACTGTTGTCTGAAAATGTCAACAGGCTTGTCTGTTTGAGAAACTGGTTGAAAGCAAAGAAGGCTTACCTTTTATTGATAACGATTAATTGTGATTAATTTTGAGTTAACTATGACATAAATGTGATTAATCGGGATATAAAAATTGTTTGACAGCACTATTTTATATTAATTAGCAGGGTTCCTAAAATTTAAAAAAACATACCACAGATAAACAACATCAGAGTGCAGTAAGAGGACATAAAAACCCATTTGGCTTATTTGAAGGCTCCAATTTCCCAATATTAGAGATCAATATCTAGCTTGACAGGAACATGTGGAGAAACAAATACAGTGATGCAGAATGAAGAAGAAGTATTTTTTTTTTAATGTTGTTGTGTGGTTGGTCTACCCACAGCCAGTGAGTACATAAAATCAGTGCTGCTATTTTAAAATCACATTTCGTCCCAGCTGCCTGTCCTCCTGACCTGTCATACCATAAGATGCCTTTCTCATGTCAAAGCAGATTTTTTCGTCAACTCTCTCCATTGCAGTGGGAATGAATAGTTTGTGTGTGCCAACTGGCGAGTCAGCGTGACCTTTCAGTGTTTGGCTCTCCGCTGAGTCCTCCTTGTGGCAAAACGGAGGAGAGTCCTGAGAGGATTAACTCACGCTCCCCTGTCAGAGGTGACGACTGGAGACACAATCAACGCAAGCTGTGCCACCTGAGCTCAAAGAACTTGAGACTGCTACATGGCTTTAGAGTACAATGGCCAGAAAGTGCCTGAGATAGACGGGTTAGAATACCTCATACTTTACCACATAATTGCTCCTGTTTCAGGCCCACAGACCGTTAAAGTCTGTGTTGGAGTGTGTCCTGCAATGATAAGAGCAGGGCATGCAGATACATTAAAAAAAATAAAACGTGTCTGCGGCTGCTGATCTGTTTGCTATATTTTTTCCCCTCAGCAGCCACCGAACGCTTCGAGTGGTTTCTCTGAATCTCGCGTCATCGATCCCTCGGCCGACGCCTGACTGGGACTAAATCTGGCCTTACTCGGCCTGCAGGGGGGGTGCGATAAAGAGCCATAAACGCACGTGAAGATGACGTTGGGGGGATTTGAGGGAGGGGCAGAGGGTGCAGGTCAGGGACAGAAAGAAAGAAAGAAAGGTAAAGGTAAACTACTTTTGACATTTGACTTTTTAGTAAAACTTTGGCAAAGAATCTTTTCAACAACAGAAATATTTTTGTTTTTGGAGTATTTTAGGAGGACAGCGAGGGATGTAAAGCCGATAATTAAAAGTGAATTGAATGAATGTTGCATATTTAGGCACATTTTCATGAGGCACCGTTTTAATTGCTTCATTTAATATATTGTTGAATAATGCTTAAGTCGTGATCTGTTATTTTTCATTAATAAGAACAGCTCTTAGGTTGCCAGGTTGCAAAGAAAATCTTTCTCCCGCATGACTCGATTTTAATAAGGTTGATCAGGAAGGTGATCATCACTGACCTGCGCTCCTCCTCCAGCTCATCTTTGGACATCATCCTTTGCAGGTGGTGGGATCGCGCCTTTCCAGGGGCGTACCTCAAAGACTCGTTTGCATCTGAATCCAGTTTATCCGATGTAACAGAACACACATTGATGAGAAATAGGAACCGTAACGATAAATGTTGGTATACGTTTGGATATTGAACTCACAACCTTTTCAAAGTGGCTTAAAGTGCTCACCGTTGATCTCCGGGCTCTCTGTGGCTCCTTCACTCTGAGGGTATGAGAAAGCACACTTTAGGAGCTCCTTATCAGAGAGCCCGATGAAGGATCTACGGCCCGTCCCCGACGAGGCATCGGACCACGAGTCGGCCTCTAAGCTTTTGTGGCTACATCCGAGCCTGGGGACGCAGGGATTGGATGTGGAGGAGCACTCAACTGGTGTTGGTAGCTCTCCAGTGTGAGGGCGGAGATGTGCCTCCTCCTGTCAGGGAGTTTAGCTGTCAGATCAGGAGCATCGAACCATCACTCTTTCACAGGTTTTTCCTCATGGAATGAGCAATACATGTTTTTTGTTCGTTTTTGACGTTTGCCTTGAATGGCACGTCGAGATTGACAAACTGCTGTGGAGCTACTCAGATCAAAAGCAAATAAGTCATTGTGTTACCTGTATTCTCCACCTCACCTGGATGCTGATCTGGCCTATACACTGCAGCTGCAGGTGTCAGCTTATGGTTTCACGTTTAGTTCCCTTAGGGGCTGATTTGACCTGTCTCCCCTTGCCCGGTTTTATCGCCTCTCCCAGCAGATATCCAGATGTCCCCACCCAAGAGGCTAAATACAGACCAGGGAGACTCATCCGGCCAGTTTTCTATTAAACAAACTGAGAGTCCGAAACATGGGTAAATCTTCAAGACAGTTATAGATGTAAAATCCTACTTTACTAGTTGCCGACCATAGACTAAAAAAGATGCCAACCGTAGGTTAAAGGTTACATGTCGCCTACTCAAACACACTTAAGCTACTTAAGTACTGGGCTTCACAAACGGTGGAAGACGTACTTGTTGTTTACTGCAACCTGTACTATTCACGGAAGAATATTGCACTTTTTACTCTTCTACATTGATTTGACATACAAAAGGGGAGCAGCTACTTCGTAGATTATTTTCATTATTGAATAATCTTCTGATTTTTTTCTGGATTAATTATATAATGTTTTGTATACAAAGGATAGCATAGCCCAGTTTACCAGACCAATGTGGCGTCTCAAGATGTCTTCTTTTGCCGTCGCAACCGCCCAAAACCCAAAGAATGTTAAGGTTAAAATGACAAAAAATACTATGTCCTGCCAATGCAGTTATCGATTAATCAAATAATTGTTGACCTACAATATTAAAATGCTGCTTATTGCATAGTGCCTACTCAAGTAATGTACAACTATTAGTTGTGTTGTTATATTAGTTATAGTCTGATATTTTGTATCACTATTACTATTACTTCTACATAAGTCATTTGTTGTTGTATTTTCACTCAAGTATCTGAATACTTATTCTGAACCTGCTTAATCACACCTTTGATGTGACGGTACTTCACTTGAGTGTTTATCCCTAAACATGATGTACTGTTCACTAAATCTATCATATTCAACTGGTTTGCTCATTCAGGTTTACTATTCAATAAAAACTCCTTTTCCTTTAAATGCGATTCTCCAATTACTACTGATTTATGATGCGGCTTTTATTGTCAAGGGGCATGACGTTGCTTTTGTTACTCATATAAAAGGTTTTTCAGTGTTTCTTCCACCTCTGACAGGACATAAGGGCTTCTGTGTTGGAATGGGGGAGGGAAGGGGGGGGTGGAGGGTTCCATAAATGAGATTAAGAGATAATTACATGAGAAAACGCAGAAGAAAGAACGAACAATCGGGTCTCTCTCTCTCTGAAGACCGACTTACTGAAAGCACCGATTTCACCACATCCCAGTGGTCGTGGGAGCTGCCGCTGATCTCGCACCAGTCGTCCTGCGCCTTCTGCTGCTGCTGCACCTTCTTCTCCTCCTCCTTCTTCTTCTTGGCGTCCGGCAGATTCCCGTTACGCGTCGGCCCCGGTTGATCTAATCCCCCCGTCGCACCGCCGTCTCCCGCGCCTCCGAAATAACTCGCGAACTCGGCCGCGGGCGAAGAGCCGCTGAACAGCGACGTCGCGACGACGAGAGCCAGAAGCGTGAAGATAACAGCTGACAGCGCGAGAGTCAGATCCATGTCGGCGGAGGTCGGGCGGTGCGCTCAGCGTGTCTGCCCCGCTTCCTGCTCACTCCGGTCGGCCGCATTCACTCGCTGTTGGTCCTCCCCCCTCCTCCTCCTCGTCCTCTCAGCGGCTCGTAATAATCCCCAGCAAACATCCTCGTTTAACGAGGCGGCATTTACCGGGACGGGGTGGCCGGCATGCTCCGCTCGGAAGGTGACGTCACATCCTGCGGTCCAGGATCACCGGCGCTGGCACGGCGCGGTGCAACGTGCTCGGCCCCTCTGCGCGCTTTCCACCGTTAATCCCATCAGGGACCGAAGCGGCCCGGGGGGGAGGGAGGGGGGAGGTAAATGCTGTGTTCCAGTGTTACGCACCGCAGTGTGTTATTCGGAGACCTTTATTTGAAGAATTGAAGATATTTTAAGGAGATCTGAGCTTTGAATAGAGCATTTGTCTTTGCTGGACACACAATGTTTCCTACTGAACACATCTTCATAACAGCTTTCTTGGAAGTTTTGCTCACTGCTCAGTTTGTGCTAAATGGGTTAATCTGACCATAGATATAAATGATCACTGATGCTATCTAGAACTTTAATATGTGGTTGCATCACAGGTTTACCAACAATAACCCCCAACTGTGTTGTCTCACTAAAACGTATGCACTCGGAGTACATATAGAACATTACCACAAACACGGCCCAATTTCTTCTTTAGAGTCATATCGTATTACAATCATCTTTAGGACACGGTTTCTGGCAATGACACAAAAACAATTCATGAACAACAAAAGATGTTTATTAGCATTCACCTGAAGCAACTACACCACATTTGAGAGGTTCACGGGGGAATGAAATACATTGAGCAGGATGAAGTGCCCTTTAAACCCTCCACTCGGAGTCCTACTGGACCCAATTGAGAAAAACAAGGCGAGCAGAGCTAATTATAACAGAACGGGGAAGGAGAGGAGTGAGAATATAGAGAAAAAGGAAAGGAGAGAATCTGTACAGCAGTGGGGGGGGGGTGGGGGGGGCATGGGCCAGGAGAGGATGGATGATCTGCCACACCTGTGAGCTTACAAACCGGCAAACGGCAGCGCAGGGTCGAGCCCCGGAACAGTGCCGGGCACTCAGCACCGCAACACGCCACACCATGTCACCACCGCACTGCATCTTAACAGCTAACCAGCAATACTCAACTGCTACACAACTGCGCCTAGTGCACAAAAGATACACAAGAAAGAGGGTTAGAGTCATAGGAAAGCAACTTTAACCAGACAGAAAAGAGATTTTACAGAAAACGTATGCTGCTGGATAAACAAGCCACGGATTGAGTGGCAAAGCAATGTTATGTTTTGCCTTTACAGGAAGACAGAGTGCTGTAAAGACTTTGAACATCCAACATGACAACCTGCAAGTAAAACTCTCTCATACGCATCTAGAAAGTGTTAAACAAGAGATTTTATTGAAAATAAGATGTTTAATCAAAATGCAAAAACAGAAAAACAATTGAGAAAAACTACTTACAAATCCTTTCCCAAAATGCTCAACTTTACAAACAATGAACACATCAAAGTTTCAGAATTCATTTGTGTGAATTGGGTCAAATTAAAACATTTTAGACCAAGCTCCAATAACCTTTCAGTCTGCTATCAGTGGTAATAGTAGAGTCCACTTGCTCAATGCGAGACCCTTCCAGATGTCCTCAGCAAAGACTCAATCCTCTGAGATCTGCAAGGAAAGACACAAGAGAGTTAAGGAGTGCAAAACAAAATGGCGCCCCAAAACTCCAGCAGCTGGATGTTTAAAATACACCCCCTGTCTAATAGTCTTTCCCCTGACACCAAACATTTAATCAAACTGCATTTTATTCCCCTGGGCATCCAGCTGCATGTATAGCTAACATTTGATCAATTTTCACATTTGGTTACAAACCTTTATCTCCCCCCCCCCTCCATCTCCTCTCCTGTAAAACTAACTCCAACAAGACTCTTACACTCGGGCGAATTTGAAAAACAAACCTCGGGTCCGTTCCCTTTGTGAGAGGTGGAGGTGGGAACAGTGCTCAGTGCCTGTGATCCCCTCGAACGTACCTCACCACACCACCTCATACACCAACAGACAGCCCGAACCACCGCCATTGACGACCTGCTCCATAGCAACCACTGTTGCCTCGGTGACCTGCTCCTTAGCAACGGCCATCGCTCTCAGCAACAGGCAGGTCACATGGGCGGGTCACACACTAACTGCTCTCAAACTGCCACACCCCCATCTCCTCCTCCTCCCTTTGCAAACAGGACTCCGCAGCTTGGAGGAAAGAATTCCACATTTAGGTGAACGTTTTTTTTGAGTGCAGAACCCCACGTCCCTCCCGTGTACACACACCCCAAATCTCCTGCGGTCTGTGTTTGCTTTAGATTTGTTGAACATACAAGCAAACTAAATGCAAATACAGAACGTGGACGTCGGTCACAATTATTTAATATTTATTTCTTAAAAATAGTCAGGATTATGCTGACATTGTTGCTTGTGTGCAAATGACTAACGCAGGAACAAGACTGCAGAATACTAACCCAAGTGACGAGAGGAAGCCATTTCAGATATAATATTTGAAGCAAATAAGAAAATCCCCCCTATTTCCCCTGAATACCTTCATATGTCCAAGTCCGGATCAATTCTCTGTTCCGTTGTCTCCTGGAGATTTAGGCCTGCTCTTGGATTTGGAGCGGGACCTCGATTTGGAACCTCTGTTGGAAGGCGGGGTTCGACTTCTGGACTTGGAGGACCGGGACCTGGATGGAGACTTTGTCTTGCTCCGTCTGGGGGTCCTGGACTTGGATTTGGATTTAGACTTGGACCTGGATCTGGAATCGGAGCGGGACCTGGATCGGCTGTAGTGGTGGCGGCTCCTGGAGCGGGAACGGCTTCTGCTCCTGGAGCGGCTTCGTCTGCGACGGCGAGGGCTGGCTGAGCGGCTGCATGTGGAGAGAAGGCACTTAAATGTAAACAACAGGAGCCAACCTAAAAATAAAGATGGAAACCCACCAAGTCTAACGAGACAGAACATTTTCATGTTTGTTAATGAGCAGCAAAGTAATGAGGTAGATGATACTTAATGAATAACAGATGATAATCTGAAGAAGTATTAATCAACACAGTAATCAGATCACTTCCAAACGACTATAATGGACGCAAACATTTTTTAGTATAACGACGTGCCATCCTATATTATTAACTATACCAACAGTGAATTATTTCATTAAAAGTCATTATCCTATTGCCCTACTTTCTCGTCATTATCTTTAGAAGACTAGCGTAAAATATTTCCTTCAGCCCCCCCTGCACCCTCCTTCGTACCGGCGTGGCGGAGCGCCTCTCCGGCTGTACATGGAATCCGGAGGTCGCCCGTAGCGCGCCATCTGCACCCGAAGCTCGCGCCCGTCAAGCAGCGCGCCGTCCATCGCGTCCATGGCGTCTTCGGCGTCGCGCTTGTCCAGGAACCGCACAAAGGCGAACCCGCGGCTCTCCTTGGTGTACCTGTCGCGGGGTATGTACACGTCTCCCACGCGGCCGTACTTCTCGAAAACCCGTCGCAGAGTCTCCGGCGAAGTTCGGTAAGTCAGGTTGTCCACTTTCAGGGAGGTCATACCCTCAACGTCCGGCGGCGCCCTACCGTAGCTCATGGCCGTCGTCTCCTAGCAACAGAGCCGACCGGGAAACTCGAAAGCCGTCAGTCCCTGTCGTACGCTGAATGTCAGCACTGGCTTATCATCTCCAATTGGTTTACTTGGTTCAAATTATGGTAAATCCTCCCAGTTTTACGATTGTCGTCTCTCTACTGCACAAAATACACGTGAAATTGCGGGCTGTAGCGCTTCCCTTCCTTCTTTTCTTTGCGCCCGTGTTGGCCCGCGGCTGATTGGCTCCCTCGGCGGCCTCTTCCCGTCCGCGTTGATCGTTACCGCCGCCCCCGCCGGCGAAGGGGGCGCTAGGAAGCTGACGTTACATTGAAGTGAGCAGCAGCTCTGCCTTTGTCCCCATCCCCATGTAGTTTTATTAAAACCTCCCACCATCACATTCAGTTGTGGAACAAAAAAAACGTGTTATATCATCGTGACAGTATGTGTTGTTGTTGAGCTGGTTTCACTCGCCTTTCCACCAGCGTCGATATGGTGGATATATGAGTGCATACGATGGTTGGCCCACCAGATGGTTGGTAGCTAACGTTAGCCTTGCGTCAGCTAAAGGGAGAGTGCAGTGAAAAGATTCGCACCGGGTAATGTAGTTTTTTTGTTGCTCCGTGTATCCCACAGGGCCGTCCTCTCCGCACTGCAGTGTGGCGTAGGGGGGTCACGTTACAAAGCGGATCGGCACTAGCTGCCGCCGGAGAGAGAAGGACTGCGCAAAACACACACATACACACACGGCCCGGATTTCTGCCTGCCTGCCGTCACGGGGAGCCTCGGAGATCTTTGACAGGATCCGACAACCAGCATCGCCGGAGACGTGTGACCGACGTCCAGCGGGCCGGGAGAGGCTCGACTGAAACGCGGCTGTTTTGAGCCACACACCCCCGGGGGACGTTTCTTTCGTTCGGCTTGCTACTACCCGACCGCCCACCATGACAGCGCCGCTACGCCGTTAAAGGGACGCCAACGGATTTTAATTTTTTTTTTCCGGCTCACAAACGAGATATTGACCACGGCGGAGGAGGAGGAGGATAATCAGCGAAGAGAACAACCACTAATCCGCCAGGACGGTCACATTCACGGCGGGGCTCGGACCCGACAGAAATGGACAGGGCAGCGAGAACTGGATTAAAAAATCGGGAATAACATCGCGAACCCGGAGTGTTATGCCCGTTAGTCCGTGTGGTCTTTATGTGACTGGAAATGGGAGCTTTAACAAGCAGACAAAACATAGGCGTGGAAGAACTGGACATTCCGTCCAGTTCGGTGTACCGTTATCCACCGAAATCTGGTAAGCAGCCGTCAGGATAACCGTTAAACGTTGTTGGGTTTTTTTTCAAAATAAACTGCAGATGGTTTCTTGGTGTCTATGAGATGCATGGAGTCGGATGAAAACCATCACCACCTTCCTGTAGGCCTTCGGGGTATTTTGGCCTTTAACCTCCAGGGGCTACCTGTGGAGACCCTGGTTTTTCATGCTGTCTTACTTCCTAAATTCCCCTTTAAAATCTGTAAATTGTGCATTGCCATGGTTTCATCTCTGCGTATTAATTACATTGCATATTGTATTCTATTGCATTTCTGGCACTGCACCTAGATGGATTTCCCATGCGAAAGAGAACAAAACACAGACATATCTACCTTTTTAGTTATTATGTTAATTCCCCTTTTTTATACAAGCATATATTTTATTTTCATCCATTTGCAGATCGTCGGATACATAGCAAGTATCCGCTCTTATCTCGTATCCTCTGTGAGCATCTGCCAGGGAGCATATGTTGATGGCATATGCTTCGGTCTGACTGTAAAATAAATAAGTAAGATGGAGCCTAAGGGGATGATAATGAAAAGATCGACCTATCCATTAACAGTGGAGTTATGCATTGGAGCAGTGGAGCAGTGGAGAGTGCAACCAATATTTCATTTATCCTCCCTCATTTTCCAGTGTTTTTAATTGTACACAATGTGACATTTTGTCATAAACATGTCCAAACACTATTTCGCAGAGCCAATGTTGACTCATGCAAAAAGCTCCCAAAGCCCAAAATGTTGAATTCATTATGATAATAAACTGAAAAATGCAGAAAACCTTCAAATTTCTAAATATGGAAGTAGACAATATTTGGCGTTGGTGCTTTTTTAATTTACCCATTAAAAATTAAAAAATGTTGGTTCCAATTGATCTTAAATGACGATGAAATGAATACATGAATTGGGATACATCTTATTCCCAAGTATGATCGATTCAAGTGTCAATTATTTTCTGGATAATAGAAACATTTTTTGTAGGTAAACTTTGGAAAATTGGGGAAATTTCCCACAACACAATGTGACATCAACATTTTTTTTTTTGTTGGACCAACACCATTTTTTTTAAAATTTCTTAATTTTCTGTTGCTCAACTACTTCTTTTCTGCTCCTCAACCCATCTAAAACCCTTTGGTCCGTGATTATCTTATTGTAATTTTGACCTATCAAAACCTTTCAAACTATACAGAACCTCCCTCTCTCAAACAAAGGTTACCCAACTCAGAAATCCTCTTTTGGACCCACGTGCAGACGTCTGTGTTTTTAATCCGTCCCGTTATTGTTCCCCTGTGTGACATTTTCTGATTGCATCACCGTGTTTATCTCCCCACTGGGTTTTGTAATCCAATATTACCCTCCGATGTTATTGCTTTTTCAATTCCATCGTAACAAAGACTTAAGAGTAATTGGGAACCTCTCACAGAAGGAAACCTCGAACCAAATTGGAGAATTTAATAGAGATTTGTTGTAGCCAGATGAGACACGTCAGTTGATTTTCTGCTATAATAATCTCAGATTTTATGGTGGTGTTATGCGGTGAAGAAGGAAAATCTGTTCAATTGCGGCTGCCATTACTCGCCCCCCTACACATAATTTAGCTGAATTTGTGACTTAATAGTCCTCATTGGATCTTGGTTGTAGAGGTTGCTGGTGAAACTGATCCGTCAGCCCCAGTTCCTGTTTTCTTGGATTTGGTGACAAAGCCTCAATAATAAGGTGACAAAGACTGTGCGTGGCCATTGGCCCTTTCTATAGTTCATAATCTATTTTTTTCCAGTGTGAATGGCTTTAATTTCAGAGCATCTAACCCCCTTCCTCCTCGCCGGCGTTATTAAAAGGGCGAGTTGCCAGACTAGATGTCCTTCCAGCAGATACACAACTCACCTGTCCAACGTGTATTTAAAGACTCCAAACCACCATCAAAGTCTTACGATATCGGCTCACTATGTCATTAACAGACACAACGTCTATTTAGTTTCATCTCGGTAAACAGGCGGACGAGCTGCTGGACACCCGACAACAACACAACGCTGGGTTACAGGCCTTCGGTGGTCTTCTTAAATCCTTCTTGACAACCCATTTGTAGTTGTACCTGCCATTTGCAATTGATGATTTTAGGATATGTCTGGTTCAAATGATGAAGGGCAATGTTAATGTTTCCAGTGAGGTGTCACGTCGGAAGAATTGGCAGCTCGAGCGAGACGGCTGAGATTTTAACAGTATTATTGTTTGTTATTCAACCCTAAAAACATACTTTCCTATAACAACAGCATCCACTTATTGAACTGTGGCATCCGTTCTTGCTTCACTATTTGAATAGCTGGGGGGACAAAAACAACCTTTGCAACCTGTAAATATTTACTTAATGGAAATGATTTTGACAGTTGTTCTATTATTTGCTAAATGAAAACAATTCTTTAGTGGCTACTGAAATTCTTCCAAAAACATTTTTTTTATTAATCCATGAATGAACACAAAATAGAAATAACTAGTGTGCACGATCACTTAAAGCACCGCATTGGGAGGCATTATTCACGACTGCGTAGCACAGCAATGCTGTTTACCAACAGTTTTGTCAGCTGATGTGATGTTTTTTGTTTGTTCAGTTATGTGCATTAAAAGATCATTCTCTGCGTGCAGGCAGTTACTTCGCCAGCCATTTCATCATGGGAGGAGAGAAGTTTGACTCCACCCATCCAGAGGGTTACCTATTCGGGGAAAACACGGACCTTAACTTCCTGGGTACCAGACCAGTGGCGGTAGGTGTTCTAACTCACTTAAGCTGTGGGTGAAAGGTCAAAAACCCAAACCACAACCTCTGCACAGGTTTGTTGTTGAGCTCTCGATCACGTCATATACAGACGAGACAACATTTGAGTTTGAAAGTTTTCAATGTTTTGTTCTAAAATGAAAAAAATGCATCACGATTATATGAACGTAAACGGGGGGGGGGAAAGAAATGAGGTAGAATGGCTTCAACTGTATTTTTATTATCAATCAATCAGCGATCAACCACTTTTGGGTTATAGTTTTCTTGCAGAATTACAACCGAAAGGTTTTGTTGTCTCTTAAACAGAGCATTTATTTTTTCAGCTTGTCATCCTGTCAAGCCAATTAAAAAACAATAAAGACATGACAGTCGCGGCGGTTTCTGCCGGAGGGTTTCAATCAACCCAATCGTGGCCCTGAAGGTCACTGATGAAAGCTGCGGCTCAAAAGAAGCTGGATGTCATTTGTCCCAGATTGAAAGGCTCGGAGTTGATGTCTTTTTTTGATTATTTATTACGGGGCAGCTGATGTGACTGATGTGACGGGGCTCTGCTCTCAGTAGCGCTGGTGTTACAGTCTAGACCAGGGTTAAAATTAGGAGTGCAGTATTTCTCCCGATTTTATGTGGGCGTCTATAATCCTCATGTGGGCGCAGGAGGCAGCTGGTGATTTTTTTGTTGTGTGGGTGTGGAGCTTTACCAGCCTTATGTAATGTTCGGTGGTTTCTAAGCAGATGGAGCCGTGGGATCATAAAACCAACCGCAGTTGTTGTGTTCTCGGTTTCTCGCACCGCTCTACAAATAGGATAACGGCCGGGGTTATATTAAGGGGTTTTCACAAACTCCTGCATGAAGAACGTAGATTCACAAAATGGATTTTCAGCCATCCAACCTGCAATGGAGCTCGGCCATTCACGACCTTTGAATGGCCGGCCGGTATCTAAACCGCTATTGGCTTTTGACATCAGCATTGTGGGAATAAATAGAATAGACCAAACCAATACATGCATCAAAACTCCTGTTTGTTTCAGCTTGTCCTAAAGCATGTACATGAAATGTGGTCTGAGCGCCGATGATTTTTAATACCTCATGAGACACACACACACACTGATTCCTGTGAGTTTCCTAATGAATGGTCCCTTTCACCATCTATTACTGCGTGTGTGTTTGTTTGTGTAGTTTACAGGCGGGACTCCCGCTGAGCCCAGATGTGTATAAGTGCCGCATTTGGGGCCATTCAAAACTGCACAAGCACGCTTCTTTTCGCACACACCAACATGGACAGATGAGGGCTTGTAGTGCCGAGGTACCGCATCCTGCATGTTTCCGTCAAACCACCTCGGCTCTCCTCTTACTCTCAGTCAGCAGCTTCAGGCTTCAAACACTGAAGTGAACCGCATAATGGGTTTGAAGGTTATGCAGAAATGCAACTCCAGAGTCTTTGATATTGCTGTTTTTTTTAACCTCTAAAGATCAGGTTGGTCGCAAGAGAAAATGGTCAAAATATGGTATTTGTTACCTGATGCAGTAATCTTCACTTGCTCCGGTCTTTGAAATAAAGACTGGTCGACCCTGGCCTGTTTTACACCCCCGTGCTGCCTGCGTGTGCAGAAATGCAGCTGAACGCTGTCTGAGGTGTCAGGGCCTTTTCCTGGAAAGACACAATCGGAGCAACATTTTTTTAGTCCGGCTCAGCGCGGATTCGGTGACCAACCGAAGCGCCGGCGTAAAGGTTAAACCAGGAGCCGCCGTGAACTCCCTGCGATTATGTCGGGGCTGGTTTTAGGGACAATGAATGCTACCTCTCCTCAGCCTCATAACATGTATTTTCCGGCTATTTTTGGTTTTGTTTTCAGTTCCCATACGCGGCCCCTCCACCTCAGGAACCAGTAAAGACGCTAAGAAGCCTTATTAACATCCGCAAGGACACGCTGCGGCTCGTACGGTACGCACCTCTATCCACAATAGCATCCACGTAACCCCTCATTGCACCGCTGTTAACTTTAGACAACAAGTTACAACAGCTAATTCAAGGGATAGCAGTGTTTGCTCGTCATTTATATTTACTTTTCTTTATGCAAACCTAAAAAAGAAAAGAAAAACACAGCTAAGCACCACAAGTAACCAAGTCAAAGGCAAGAAATATCCATGAAAATAGGACATAGACACACATACACAAAAACAATGTTGTGATCAAACAAATATGGGAAGTGATCCAAAGATGCATGTTAATTACAATAACAATAAATAAACACACCTGTCATTTTGTAGCTGGAGTTTGTAGTTTTGATTCCGCGCTCGTTTTAACTCATTTACTCAAAAGCAAATACGTCTTGAACCCTTCTGAGATCTCTGTCCTCGGCTCACAGGTGCAGCGAGGACCTGAAGCTGCCGGGTGACGAGGAGGCGGGAAAGAACAGAGCCTGCTACAACGTAGAGTTCACCTTTGACGCGGACACCCAGGTCGCCATAACCATCTATTACCAGGCCGTGGAGGAGTTTCACAATGGTGTGCCAGTGTAAGTGGAAGGATGGTGAACAGTGGTTCCATGTGAAAAATATTTGATTCCAAATTCGAATCGCTCACAATTACTTCCACTTCCAAAAACGTGTCATTTATTTTAGGATAATAACAAGTTACTAAGTTACTAACTTAAACACTCTTTCCTCAAAAGTAGTATTGATTGTTTCAGTCTCCTTTGGGGAGTGTTGAGTTAGACAGTAAGATTTCGAGACCATTATTGCCCAAATGGTTATCAGCACATACTAATTTGATCAGAATCAGTATTATGATTCTACGTATTTTGAGCGCATTGACCGACTCTGCCCGTCCTCCTGCAGTTACCTGCCGCAGGACAGCTCCCTGCAGTCGGAGACGGTGCACTTCAAGAGGGGAGTGGGCCAGCAGTTCAGTCTGCCGTCACACACCGTCAACCTCAGCGAGTGGGCCGACGAGGAGGTAAGCGGCTGGCGCCCGGTCAGCTGACAGCCGAAACGCACGTCCGAGGCAGTCGTCAGGGGCCGATAGAATTCTGCTTTCTCCCCACAGCTGCTGTTCGACGTGGACAAAGAGGTTTTCCCCATGGTGGTGCAGGCCGTCGTAGACGAGGGGGAAGGTAAGTTCATGTGCCCGTCACGCCGATGGTCTGATGTCGGCGCAGAGCTGCTGAATTGTAGGGAACTATTTTTGTTTCTTTACAGAACACTTGGGCCACTCTCACATACTGCTGGCTACATTTGAAAAGGTAAGAGAGACTCTGGAAGGCACAGCGTGTTCTCAGGAGTTTAGGTTCCACAGACGTTGCCAAAACTTTTTATCGTTAAGAGAATATTTCAGTAGATATTTTGGCGATTGGTTTCATTTTAGTGACTTTTGTAGCAGAAATGCCAAAAGGCTCCTAAAATATTGGTATTTTCAGCTTTTTTCTTGTTCTTCGTAATGCGTAATGCTGTCTTGAGTTTGAAACCTTTCATATTGTGTTCATAGTCATCAGAAGATTTATCTAAGAACCTTTCAGCCTTTTGTACCTTTTGGATTTTGACATCGTGATAACCAGAGAATATCTGACTTCAAATCAAAATATCACAATATATGTCATTACAAAAGACACGCAAAGTTACTCTTCTGGAGGGCGGCCCCAGATAAGATAACCATCTTATGTTTTGGGCGGTTCTTAATTAAAAATTGTGCTCTGGAGGCCAAACTACTCTCTAACCTGCAACATGAGAAGTCTTCTGCACAGCTGTGGATGAATTTAAACAACGCAAAAGAAAAGAAAATTAAGGGCTTTCCAAATCATTTCTTTGAATAAATGAATAAACAGCTTGTTCTTCCTTCTGCAGCACATGGATGGAAGCTACTGTGTGAAGCCTCTGAAGCAGAAACAAGTGGTGAATGAACCTGTTTTTCTTTTCTCTCTTCCATCCTCCATTTGTGAAAGATTTTTTTGAAATGCTTTTGAAAGACAAAGGATTCAGAATGTTTTTATTCTTCTCTTCAACTTTACCTCTGAACCCATAAGACCCGCAGCCGTCATTCTTTACTACGCTCCTTTCCTCAGGTGGACGGAGTGAGTTATCTACTGCAGGAGATCTACGGCATAGAGAACAAATACAACAGCCAGGAATCAAAGGTAAAAATCTCACTTTCTCCATTGTGATCCTCTTTGAGTGAGTCACAGGCAGTGTAGTAAAATACACCATCTGCCTTCTCATATTCAAATGTTTTATGTCTCCAGGTCGCTGACGACGAGATCAGTGACAACAGTGCCGAGTGTGTGGTGTGTTTGTCGGACGTGCGAGACACACTCATCCTGCCGTGCCGACACCTGTGTCTCTGCAACGCCTGCGCGGACACTCTGCGCTACCAGGCCAACTGCTGCCCCATCTGCAGGCTGCGTGAGTCCCCCCCTTCTCCCCCCACTACGACGAGGAAACGGTATCCATAATTAGAGTTCTAGAAACCCCCCTTTCCTCTCCCGAGAATAGATAAAATGGAGGAAAGCGGTTTTCCAACAGCGGTAATGCGGCCTGTAAAATTTCAATTCAACAGTAGTACAAAAGGGAGCCGAAATTAATACGAAGGAATGAAATGAGGGACTCTGAGTGTTTTATTAAAAAAAGGATTGTTTAAATCCGCTGTTTAGTAATCCGGCTACACATGAGTCGTGCTTATGGTTCATTTGACTCAGTAGCTTGACAAGAGAGATGTACACGTGGTTAAGAGCGAGAGGTACATTTTGGGTATGCGCACGTACCAATGGAAAAAAGGGACATTTAAATAGCCGCTACAACTGATGGGAAAAGGGGAGCACAAACAAGGAGAACCAAAATTTAAAGGACGCGTTACAAAGTTTATCTGTGTCCTGCAGTTTGCGTATTGCTCTTGACCGTTTGTGGCTTGTTGCAGCAATTCCAGGCTCATGACTTATTCGCCTTTTTTTTTTTTTTTTTTTAGCTGATAAGATCAAGCTTTTCAAAATTCTTTCTCACATATGTCCTTCCAGGATAAATACTGTCTGGTACTTCCAATAGTGGCCTCTCTTGCCAACGTTCAGCAAAAACATAAATAAATATTGATCGTGGTCTTAGAAAAAAAAAAAAATAGAGTGCGAGTGCAATCGTTATTGAAATTGTTGTTAAATATACAAACAATTTTTACACATAAATATTTTCATCTTGTTTTATTTTTATTTTAGCATTCAGAGCTCTGCTGCAGATCCGAGCCATGAGGAAGAAGCTCAGTCCTCTGTCACCTTCCAGCTTCAACCCCGTCATCACCTCACAGACCTCGGACTCGGAGGAACACTCGGTGGGACGCAGCTGACCCAGAAAAAAACCACAGTCACTACTAGTAAGTAATAATCACTCCCAGTGAGCTAACCAGTGTTTCCCTCTCCTCGTTTTCAGGCGTCGGAGCACATCCCTCCAGGATACGAGGTGGTGTCTCTCCTGGAGGCCTTGAACGGTCCCCTCACCACCTCCTCGCTGAATCCTCCTCCTCTCAACTCCGGTCCCAGCCACGTGTCCGGAGTGCTGCCCCTGTACGGCAGCGAGCCTCACCCGGCAACGGCCCGCTCGCTCTCCCCTCTGGACCACTCCAACTCCAGTCAGGGACTCAAACTCAAGAAGAGTGGCTCAAAGTGAGTGTCGTGATGTCTTTTTTTTCTGCCCGAATAGCAGACGACTTTGGGACATTAGCTTGAAATCGTAGGAATATATTCAAAAAATCAATTTACTTCTGCTAGAGTCACTTTTATCAGAGAAAATGTATTACGAGCGCTACTTTATTAAGCTTATTTGGTTGTACTAAAACATATTACATATATAACTTCTATATACACATACGATTTTAAAGCTGAAGATCATTTCCACAACTAGCATCTTTCTTATTGTTCTTGTCTGTGGCTCATTCCTTTTGTTGTTTTTCTTAGGTCACTCTCCCAGAATTCGTCTGTTCTTCCTGAGGAGGAGGATGAAAAATCTTGCAGTGAATCGGAGGCCTGCTGCCATAAACTCGCCGTAGAGCAGCAGGAGGTGTGTGTGTTTGTGTGTTAAATGGAGGCAAAGAGAAAACACATTGTTGTATGTTTATCTCCGTGTCAGATACATTTACACTTCTGATAGCTGTGGATTTTTACACATTTCTTCTGTATTTGGGGAACATGTGGCTTTGTGAGCTCCTCACTAAACTCAATGTTGTTTTACAGAGTGGCGTGACTCCAGAGAACGAGAATCTGACCCTTTCCTCGTCTGGAGCGATTGACCAGTCGTCCTGTACGGGAACGCCGCTCTCCTCCACCATCACCTCCCCTGAAGGTGAACACTCGCTTGTCTACCTACACTAAACGTGGACAAAATGTCGTCTCCGATATGGTTTTCAAACTGGTCCTCGCACAAAGACAGCGAACAAATACAAAAATTGAAAATCCCTTCCATTTCCATAAGACAAAATCCAACACAGTTATTCATTTATGTTATAAACGACAAAAAAATACAAATGAACATAAAATCATCAAATCGCTTTAAAAAAGATATGTTTGCCTTCAGGATGCAAAAAACTCTCTGCTGCATGAAAGATTTTATCATCAATACATCATCACCGTCAATTGGATTTTTGTGAGAGTTCTTCTGCTTGACATTTCGGCACAAAACAGGAAGAGAGGACTGTTGTTCCAGCTGGGAAGAAATGAATGAAATTATCACTTAAAACACAATTATTCTCTACACAGCTACTCCTGTACACCCGAGTAAGATGTAGAATACGTGTCATCAAAGGGAGACGGGATACTCTGAGCTAAATGTTATTCCTTTTTAAACAAACTGAGCTTCAGAGGTGCTGACAGACATACACTTTAGATGTGTCAGCTCAGCGTTATGCTTTATTCAACCATAATCAACCTCCTGGCTCAGGCTCCGTACTTAATGCAATGTGCACACACACACACACACACACACACACACACACACACACACACACAGTGTTATTGATCTCTTCTTCTAATTCATTAAACAAGAAAGGGAATGAGTGCATTTCCTCTAAACGTCGAACTATTCCCTTTTAATCTGACAACAAGACAAGAAACCATCTCTTCTTTGCCTGCCATCTGCTGTTGGTAATTCTGGAGAGGAAAGGAAACTACTTTCCTTCTTTTAAATGGTGGAAATCTCACACTACCGACAAAAAACGGTCCTCTGACCAGGAAGCCCGACCGTGATGTGTGTCTCTGTCCGTCTGTCAGACCCAGTGAGCAGCAGCCTGGTCCAGTCAGTGATGTCCATGGCCTCGTCCCACTCGCAGCACTCGCACATCAGCACTGACACCATGTCCTCCATGTCAGGGTCCTACCTGGCCGGGGCCGAAGGCGAGCCAGGGGGGTACGAGGGGGGAGACGCTGAGGGCGAGGACAACCAGGACGCCGCCATGGAGAGCCGAGGACCATCGCAGCAGGACGGGGTGAGGAATCTGCCGATGGAGGAGGAAATGTGCTCTAAGATCCACAAAATGTTTCATGAACACGTTGGACTGTTTCCGTTTGGATCTTTTATTTCTTTCAGGAGTTTTCCCAGGAGCCAAAGAAACCAAACTCCTCAGTGACAGTAGAGGAGCAGGACGCAGAGGTGAGTAATACTCTCATTTTATGTCTCCATCAAACTTTTATCAAGTCTTAAAAAGCTTCTTTCCTGTTTTCTCCAGGGAAACGATGTCACTGAAGAGGACTGCTCCTCCCCGTCTAATGGGAAAGGTAACTATGGTGACCATACCTCACCTTTCACCCCTGACCCCTCACCTCCCTTTGCGATGCGTTCAGGCCCTGTGAAAAAGAAGAACACCGTTTCATACATTATGGCCCGAGTGGTCGATATCGTTGTTTTCAGCAAACCTATTCGTTCATGGCTGAATAATGACAACACTTCCAAATGAAGGGATTCTATGTCAGATATTGTCCTATAAATGACCTCACAGGCGCCATTGAGACACTCAGAGATTCTCCCTGAGCGGGTCCCCCACCCCAAAGAAAACAGTCCCTGTCTTTAATTTGTTAAAACACAAGAGGGAACATTCATTGTCTAATTCAGGGTTAGGTTCCTCCAAAGTCCGTACTTCATAACAACAACAGACGTGTTCGTTCAAGAGTTCCTCCAAATCTGCCAGATAAGCAAGTTTATTTATTCCGGACTAAATGCCAAAATGCGCAGCTCCCATCTTCTTTACTCCGCTTCACAGTGAGCTTCAGCTCATTGTTCAGTCTGTCAGTCAGTTATTTGTATTCCCCTTATTTTACAATAGTTTTCTCCTAATCGCTGAATCTATCGCGCTAATCAAGTAATTATGAACATATTTCAATCGATCGGTGCATCTTTTCATCCGTAACAGGAAGTGAGCATGCACAGGTATCCTGTGGTTTAGACGTGGTTCTGCTGCACACCATTCGCTGGCATTTGCATGATTCGCACCGCTTTATGAATGTTTGTGTGTAAACGTGTGTGCGTGCGCTTGTAGATGCAATGTATGTATATGAGGTATATTTATTACATGTTTAATGTTCTTTAAACTTAGCAAACATTTTTATATTTATTTTTTGCTGCTGCATCATGGGAGGGAAATCTCTTTCATGACCCACCTCTGTGTGTGTTTTTGATCAAGTGCGTGAGAGTGAATTTGATGGGGTGAGTGAATCACCAGAAAGGCTTGAAGCAAAATGAACAAGGTCACCGCCATTGGACAACGGTTTGAAACTTGTATTTGTAAATCCGTTCCTCTGTGGATTGTGGATGTGTGTGTTTGACACCCAAGGCCGGACTGAAACAATCTACCTGTGTGTGTTACCGAATGACCTTTCAGTCCTTTGGCTGACGGACTGTGAATGTGCACACGCACTGTCGGATGTTAATGTTTGCCAGGCAGCTTCTGTATGTGCTGCCTGTGTCTCTGTGCTGAGCTGCCAATCATCCAGTCATCCTCTTACTCAGTAGCGCGCACGCACACACACACGCACACACACACACACACACACACACACACACACACACACACACACACACACACACACACACAGAGGCTTGCTGCAAGCATGAGACTCTTAATTAAACATGACATTATCAGTTGTCTGGCCCTGCTGGAGAAGGCAGAAAAATGCTTATGTAAGGAGTTCATGTTCATATTTGTCAACCTTAATTAATGAGGAAATGGAACCAGAAAAGCAGAATAGTTTTCCTCCGGTGTGTCAGCCGACACTGTGTGGAGGGATGATTGAGAGAGGGGACACGGCTACAGCTTTAAAACAAAATAGAAGATAACAGGGACAAAAAGATGCATGCTGCTTAGGTTTTATATATTTCAATTTACTGACTTTTAATTCCAGAGAAAATTGACAGTGTTGTGCAATTTGAGCAATGTTAAAAATACTATTAAAGTATAGATTAAAAGCTCAATCATGTTTAAATAATATCATGTTATATTGTAATATTATACTACATTATAAGTTCTATTTAATAAATATTCGGTATCTGTATGTTTTGCAACCTTTTGTACAAAATAAATACTTAACCAACGAATTAATAAACAACGGGAAAAAGAAAAAAAGATTTCCCTCCTGCTATACTGAAATTTAGAGGGCAATATGTGCTTTGCTTGTTTTTTCGCCGTAAATAATAAATAAATAATACCGTTTTGTACACATCATTTGTGTCTCGTTAGGTTTTTCAAAATGAACCCGGCAAGAATCAAATCATACTTGTTGTATTACAGCTGTTGTGTCAGTCTTTGTGTCTCAGAAGACGTGCACTCACACACGGGATTAGAGCGCAGGAGCCTATTTTGGTGCCCTTAAACTGTTGTGCGCAAGTCATTCACACGGTGGTAAAATGCAGCAGTATTCTATTTTTTATTACACCGTTCCAGCATAGCCAACACCCTGCCCCCTCCCTCCCTCCCTCACCCTAAACCCCCCTCCCCGCTGTGCCTGGCTGCTCTTGTTTGACCTTTGCCCTCGCTTGCAGGTGGGCGAAGCGGGTGTCCAGAGTTGGCCAATAACAATCAGGGCGTCGCCCTCTGTGACACGCCCTCTTTGGGGCTGGATAATGAGCAAGCTCCCGACAGCCGATTCGCCGGTGAGTGGCAACCTCTCGGGAACGCGGACAAATGACAGCTGAGGACACGGCATGAGAGCGAGGGGGGAGGGATGAGGGGTGAGGAGAGATGGAGGAGGGCAAGAACGTGAGGAAGATGAGCGTAAGGGTGCGTGAGTCAGAAGATTTAATAGATCTCTGACACTATAGCTTGCTATGCTAGCATGCTAATGCACATTGAAGCTAGGGAGGAACCAGAAAAAAACTCCTTCGATGTTTCATTTACTCGCAGTTAGTGACCAGAGGAGGTTTGTTGTATCTTTGCCCAGCATGCAAGACCTTCCTACTTCTCTTCATCCCTACACTTTGACGTTGTTCCTGGTGCTTCATTGCTTTATTCTGTAGCGGTTAGCTGTGCACTCCCTCCTCTCCCTCCTTTAGCTGAAGCCCTGGTGTGTGTGTGTGTGTGTGTGTGTGTGTGTGTGTGTGTGTGTGTGTGTGTCTTCCGTTGTGTCTGACAAGTGTTTTCTGCATGCTGTGATTTCTGTTCCTGTGGGAGAGAGAAACGAAAAGAGTCTGGTCCCTCCCACAGTTTGAAGTTCATGTGCAGCTCCGAGCCGCTTTGCCAAACATCTGCAACTCATTCTCACACCTCCATTTTACGTCCCTCCCCTGCCAATCATCCTTCCTGCTTTAAAACATTCAGCTGGTTCCTGTGCTGAGAGCTAAAGGTGTCAATTGCGTTTGTCCCTATGAATATTATTTAAGTGTATGTGTTGGTTGTTTAACTAACAGTTGAGTCGTTTTGGGCTAGAACTTGCTTGCTTAGCTCTGCACGCTTCTCAGCCACTGAAACCCTGGTTTATCATCTTCACTTTGAACCTAACGTCACCTCTTTGGTCTTTAATGGTTGGTGGTGTGACAAGTTTTCTCTTTCTGTGTCGTAAAAGTGTTCTGTTATCTCTCTATTTCTCTCTGTTTCCCCTCCTGCCATTCTTCGCATCTTCTACTATCTTTTCCCGGATATTTTCCCCCCGATCTTTCTCCTCTCTTCCCTCTTTCGCCTTCTTTCGGATGGACAGATGAGGAGTCGTGCCCAGTGCACATTGAGGACTAGGTATGGAGCTATGGTTAGATGGTAGATCAGATATCAGGGTACACCGTATATTGTAGTTTGCATGAGCCATAACAACCGCCCTCTTTTGTTGATGACTTGTTTTGTCTGTCATGATACAGTTTTATTCAAGGTTGTATTCCCTGAAAAAACACGGTGAGTATAGTCACCAAATATCCGCAAAAATGTGATGGGGAGTTTTTGTCTTTTTGTACAGCATCTATCCCTTCTCATTCACAGGTCTGGCATTATATCAGTAATAGTTGAAGTGAGGTAGCTTTCATGATTGACATGATATAATATTGATTAAAAATTGATGAAAACTGTCATTAATTCATGTCGGTCATTGACTGTTGCTCCCTAGGACCATGCTGTTTGTTGGTGAGGCTTTGAGTTGTTCAGGGAAATGTCAAAGCTGGTTTTCAACTCTTTTTTTTTTCAAAATAATATTGAAAATAGGCATGAAACAGTCGGATGGAAAATAAAAGTATGGTTTGCCAAACAAGTAGAGAAATTAGTAAAAAATTAGTTACTTTTTCTCTGTGTTGGGACATTGATTCACACCAGGGAAACACAACTGTCCTTCAAGGGGTTTGAGGTTTCTCAGCATAATCCTCTCTTTTTCTCTCTCTCTCTCGTCTTCTCTCCTTTTAGGGCTGATGTACCTCGGGGGTTACAGGCCTGTTCTGGAGCCCCTCACCCACCACACCTCCACCAGCAACATCAACCGGGAGGAGCAGGGGCCCCAGAACAGGGACGGTCAGAGCCCTAAACATCCCCGCCGCGGACCACTCATCGTGTAGCAAACACATGGACTCCTCCGTCCAGACTCGGCATCTTGGCATGAGGCAACAGTGCTGCATTGCTGGATACTGCCCCCCCACACCGTCGCTGAAACGCGTAGAAAGAGGAGGAAAGAGGAACAGAGGGACGTCTCATTTCCGTGCACTTTTATCTCACAGGAGTTTGTTGTGGGATTTATTGGCCTACTGCTACATTATTATTTATTACATCTAATGACAGCTGTGTATTATGACACTATCTCTATCTAAAAGCCCCTTCCCTCTCCTCTACCCCCGGCCAAACAGTCAGGGGCTACTGTGATGGGCAATCTGATTTATTACTAATGTACTTTGTCTTCTCTGTTATAAACTCTTAAATCGAACAAGTGTTTGTGCACTATTTTAAAGTCAGCTGACAGGCTACCTTACCGTAGCAAACTAAAACCCGCAGACTCCTCTCTTCGCATTAGGAAGCTCCCTCCTCAAATTCGCATGAAGCTTTTAAACTGCTGATGTTTTCCTCTCATTCCCGCCATCATTTTCAAACAACCTCCGCTGAATGTGAACACAGAAGCGATCGGATGAGGCAAGAAACGCTGGTCGACACAAACAGATAGTCTGACAAACAAAAAGAGACTTCTTCACGCAGAATGTAGGACAATGAACGTGGATCTCTTTGAAATGGAAGGAGCGAGACAATTTTCATCAAAACGGGAATGAATCAAAAACTTTTAACCCTAAACTGGTTCTCCAAACACACGCCTATAAACGCACACACACACACACACACACACACACACACACACCACGCCGTCCTCTCCTTCTGCAGCTCCATTTTAGCATGTCAGTATTAGCATATTGCAAATGGAAATCAACCAAGCAATAACAATGCCGAAGCTCGGTCTCCTGCAGGAAGAGGCTCATGTGGAGGTCAAACGGTGTTTGTTGCATTCAAATCCCGACAGTTCAATGTGTTTTATTGTATTTTTTTTTTTATTACAATTTTGCCATTTCCTTTTCTGAGAAAAACATTATATACATATAATTTGAAAATGTGAGATTAGGTTACCTTGGTTTGCTTGCATTTTGTTCATCCTCGTATAAATATCACCTCGACGAGCCCTTTTCTCCTCGTTTTTGTGAAGCTTTTAGTTGTTTTGGTTTTGTATAACTTTAATGTATATTTCCCCAGTTGTTGATGTTCTCTGTTGCAGTGTTTTAATTCGTTGCAAAAACACTGTTTTGTTTACTAGAATGTGAATGAAAAATGATGAAACGGTTTACACACTTGTGCACATTTATAAACTGAAAAGGGACAACATCATTATTTAATGCACTATTTAATTCTCTGTTTCCTAGACGACACACTTTGCGGTGCACCATTGTAGAGTAAGCATGTTAGTCCAGGTCAGCCTGCACCCTTCTGTAGATCACTGTATGATGGACAATTGCATACAAACAACGCCAGATCATTCCCATCTGTAGTGTTCTACATCAGTGGCTGCCTATTCCCTCGACCCCGACTGTTAAGGTCAAGAGGTCTGCACTGCTATTTCCAAGCTGCAAACATTTGTGTGATCATAGTCCGAACGTGTAGATGATGTATTCTCTGGCGCCGGCCGCAGTATGATGTCAAAGGAATGGGTCCTGAATCTACAAAAAACACACTTTTCTATAGTTGGGGGGTGAAAAGTGTCAGAAAACATCAGATGGACAATAAAGTTTCTGCGACTAAATGGTCAGAGAGATGTAATGTAGATTTAAAATGTGGAACTCTCATCAATCAGCCCGGGGTCATCTTTAATTCATGTGGCTGAAAAAGAACGCGGCTCTGAGATGTTTCCTAACATGGTCAACTGAATGAAATTCTTCTGCCGCTTGATACAATCTTTTTTTCCCCCCCACAGAACTCAGTTTGTAAGTCATCAGTATAAATAACTTCCCTATGAACTGAAAATAACCATCTTCCCCACAGATGATTAGTTTGCTTTGCCTTATTTTCATTTGTCATATTTGTTTTTTATTTTTTCCTTTAACATAAACGATATTCACCGTTTTCCAGCACAAAAGCAGTTTATTAACCCGTCTGTTTATCCCCAGATTGAGAAAACACATACCTTTGTTCCTTTTGTCTGGGTAATAATGGTGAGTTTGGATTTTTTAAATGGTGACTCTCCTGAACTTTCTTTTTTATTCATCATCAGCTGACTGTCATTTTTCTGTTAATTGGCCTTTCATTTACTGCAGAAGTGGAACAATGAACGCATCTCATGGGACCCGGCTCACTTTTGTGGAATCACTCAGATTTCTATTCCTAAGGAAATGCTCTGGAAACCAGACCTCTTTATCTATGAAATGTGAGCCAGCAGCACACACAGACACACTGTGGTTTATTAAAAGATCTGTGCAAAACAAGCACCTACATTGTTCAGCAATTACAGCTGCTACCCCAATTGCGGCCTTTATGCTAAGCTAAGCTAAAACGCTGATGTTATACGATATATATTTGGTAATCCTTTAAAGGTGAGAACTGCCACGGGTCATTTGAAATAAAAGAAATGAAAGGGAACCTAAAGGGAATCGGATTTGATGGACTGCTAAACAAATGTGTACCTGGAGAAGACAAAAGGAAAGCAAATGTTTGGTGGAGAATGGGAGGTTTCTCTTAAGAATTAAAAACACAGCCGCTTTTAAACTATTGTGAAGAGCAAACACAATCTCTTCGTGTAGTGACAGGAGGAGCTCCATCTATTATTCCTTCAGTTAATGATTATTGGGAAATACCTAGTGGTTTAATTTCTTACAAACGTAACATGAAAAGATTTTGAAGTGTGAAGTGTGTTTGTGTCTCAGGACACAGAAGGATGAATCCCCTCAGAATCCGTACATGTACGTGTCCTACGACGGGACGGTCTCTTCCGAAGAGGAAATGAAGGTGGTCAGCACTTGCAAAATGGACGTCCACAAGTTCCCCTTCGACATACAGAGATGCAACATCTCCATCGGCTCTGCGGTGCACTGCGGTGAGTGAACGGCTGTGTGGTTCAGGGCAGAATGGGCGGAATCTCATTCCGGCCACAAGGTCCTTTCACTCAGACTTTCTCCCCGTCTCCTCAGTTGATGAGATTCGTGTCTTTCCGTTCTCCAACTCGTCTCGGGCCACCCAGTTTTCCCGAGAGGTGATAAGGACTCAGGGAGAGTGGGAGTTCCTCCAACTGACCGTAACCAGTCAAAATTTCACCATAGACAATAAACAGTGGGAATATCTCATATACACTGTATGTACGTACTTATATACACACACACACACGTTACATTATGTTCTTGTTTTGGTGTTGGAACTAGTTTTTCTCTGGATACACAATTGAGAATTTGTGTGCACTAAATTCTAATTTGTTTTCACTTTAGTTAACTTCTGCTTTATTAATATATATTACTTATGGTAACCAAAAAAGGAGATTCAAGATTTATTAAATAAAAAAATGAATAAATAAACATGTAATATATGTGTAAATATCATACGTATATCTGTCTATATGCATATAGATATATATAGAAATATTCAAATGAGTTTACACAAGTAAAATCGGTTTCCCCCCGTCCC